GTATGTCTAGCTTCAGGGACTGTCATGATATGATGTGGAGTAAACTATAGAACATTATGTTATATGATGTTTTTTGTGTATCTGAAGGTTTTCATGTAAAGTCAGTTGGATCTAGGAAAGAAAAGACTTCAGTTACTTTATTGAAGAAGCTCTAGCAGTTAGCCTATGTTCATGATCCTTAGTTGTAATTGAAGATTGTTATAATTCAAAAGCGAGTCTCCATGTTCTGATTTCAGTAGAAGAAGATCTATTTTTTTTTTTCTGGTTCTGTCTCATCTTCCCTGATAGCAACTGTGTTTGGGCATGATGTACCAGAACCCTCTATACCAATCAGCTTCTCTTGCTGTGCTCCATTGGCCTGCGTCTTGACACTTCTGGAAAGTGCTCTAGCATTGTTGGAATCCAACTGCTAGTGCTGGCACTGAGGTTTATATAGCATCGGCTGATGCATGGGAATTGGTCCTCCACGGTAACCTTAACTCTGCCTAAGTAGCAGAAATATCCCCAAAAGCATCTTTGTTGGCATGTTTTGGAACAATGGCTCAAACACCTGTCAAATTCATACTAAAACTTAATAAAAGTATATAGCAGACATTATGAGTCATTAGGAAACGTGAGTTTTTGTATGAGACCCTCTCCCTTCTGCCTCAGTAATGTGGCTGTGAGTCCTGGGTCTGAGGAGGGGCTTAGACGTGTGCCTTTTAATCACTTCTGGATAGTTCTGAAGCAGTTTGTCAGCTGTATGTTGAATATAGTAGTTAAAAGACAGTAAGAATAAAATGAATCCTTGTTACTTGTAGAGGCAATGTTTTGGAGGAGAAAATGCTGATCCCAGCTCTGACTTCAGGCAGCACCTTCACTTGTAAAATGAGGTGCCCCTGTGTCCACCTCATCAGGTGATGCAGAGGAATCGGTCAGTCACCAGGGACAGCACAAGTTTGGGCTGATTTGGTGCATGCAGTCAAAGACTCTCCGTGATATTATTTGTTTTTAACACTTCCATTTCACTACCACTGTTTTTTTTTTTTTAATTCCCTCGGAAAACTTAACTGAATTTAAGAAGCTTCCATAAAATAGTAGAAAACAGTAAGTGGAGGTAAGAGAGAGTTGTGTGCATTTTATAACCAGAAAGCCTAAGTTTGAACTTCACGTATATCCCCATGGAACCTGTGCAACCTTAACCTCTTTTTTTCTTTTCTCAAACAATGTAACAGGAGGGTTTTTGAGGAAACTTTTCTGAGGAAAGGGGTTCTAGTCTGGTGAACTGTGAAGTTTAGCAGTTGGGAGCAGCTTTAGAGATGTGATCGCTGCTTCGCTAATGTTAAGCCTGAATGTGAAACTTGAGGGACTGGCTTCTGTCTGCTGGGAAATGACCAGAACTGCCCTAAGATCAACTGGGCCAGACCACAAAGCCTAGGGGAGTGCGGCCCTATTTAGGAGTTTGGCTTTTACCTTGAGGGCGACAGGGGCCACTAAATCTTCCTTTTGAGGTAGGAGAGTGACAAAATCAGGCCTTTACATCAGAGAAAATACCTTTTACCTTTACAGAGAATACACTGGAGAAGGCCAGAGGCTAGGTAGGAAACTAGTACAGGAGGCTGTTGCAAAAACCCAGTGCTGGTGTCCTGGCTGGCTTAGCAGCTCTGTTGGCCTCCGGCTCACATGAAGGCAGGTGGAACAATCCAGCAAACTTGATTCTCGTGGTGAAAAATTAATATTGCCTGAGCCTGATTCTCCAGTATGCATACCTCTCCCTGAAGCCAGTTAGATCCTTTTGGAAGTTGCATTAAGTCTCCAAGGCCACAGGGGTGCCATTAAACTCCGGCTTCAGCATACTAAATGGTATGGAATCTCAGCCTGCAGTCAGCCAGTAAATGAGTATAACTTATGTTGAATTCCAGCTAATGTGCAGACTTAGAAGTAGCATTAAGTCTGGAAAGTCACTTGGGTACCATTTGGAGTGCTGAACTGTGATTTACTTGGTCATACCCTGGTGGCCTGTATGTGCCAATATAGCTTCCATAGTCTTTTCTACTTTGTTCCAGGGAATAACTTATGGAAAGAAAACATCCATTTTAAAAAATATATTTTCTATATCTTATTCATTTTCCTGGTGAACAGGGATTATTGAGGTCAGTATTTATTGCTCAAAAATGTGTCATTTAAGTGAAAGTAGCAAGTCATAACATGAAGGGTGCAGTTTAAATGGGAGTAACTGGTCATAGCCCAAGGCAGTTTTTCCTATCAAACATATATAATCACTAAAGTTCACAAAGCATGGCCATGCCAAAAGGAGTTTAACTTTTATTTTATGAGGAATTTTCAATACTCAAATGTGTGCTACATATGTCAATGTGAAATTTTTTCTCTGATCTACAAATACATAATGAGTCATATGCCCAGAGAGTGCAGCATTGAAAAAAAAAAAAAAGATCTGATCTTATCTGGATAAGGCCCATGAGGTCTGAGACTATGCCTGAATCAGTCTTACACTCCCAATAATGATCACTGGGGGCCCGGTACTTAATAAATATGTGGCTACCACATGCAAATGAGTGTGAACATGTAAAGTATCTGTTGAGGGCTTGATATTCATGATGGGGCTTGGGGAGCATGAAAACTCTTAGCATCTCTGAGATGGGTGTTCTGGGAATTTCATACAGTTGATGTTTTCAAAATCTACACATGAAGTAGTTTCAAATGGGAGACTGATAACTAAATTCTCTTGGCAAAAATTTTCCCATCTTAACACTAACAGTGCTTGGAATTGGGTTTTTTTTTTTTCCAAGTTCATAGGTACTTGGTAAGTAAATGAATCTTAGATATGTGAAAAGAAAGCAAAAATAGGGAAGAGACACTAATCCTGGAAGAACTTCAGGAGTGTTTTGTGGATTAACATCAGCTCCTGGCTTGGTGCAACATGCAGTATCTCTCATGCTTTCAAAACCATCTCCGCAGCTGATCTGTTTTGATCAAGGCAACTTATTCAACGTCTACAAAGTTTAAAGTAATGAACCAAAATTCTAATCTATGTTGTCTTTCAAGTCAGTGCTGAAAAGTTTAATAACAGGTATGTGTGAGAGTACTTCAAAACGTTGATGGAAAATGGAATTAAGCATCGGGGTGTCAAATGTTAAGCCCTGTACTTAGTTTTCCATGATATACATCTTTCATGGACCTTAGTTACTTTCCATATACTTGGATCTCAAAAAATTGTAATACCAAAATAAACTCAGGCTTTAACTTTACCCTCCTTGAATTCTTTAAGTACTCTTGCAATCAGTATACATTAATTAACGCATTGTGTATCTGAAGTCATCTGTGAATTGTTAGTTCATACTGAAAATTTCTTTGATGGGGCCTGAGCAATGGCTTCACCAGCTAATCCTCCTCCTTGAAGCATCAGCATTCTTTTGCACTTCCCACTCACCTCCCCACTTACAGCCTGGGAAAACAGTGGCAAATGGTCTGCAGTCTTGGGCTGCTGCTCCTCTGTGCTAGAACTGGAAGAATCTCCTGGTTCCTGGTTTCAGATCAGCTCAGCTCCAACCACTGAGGCCATTTGGGGAATGAACCAGTGGATGGAAGATCTTCTTATGCTTTTCCTTCTCTCTGTATATCTGCCTTTCAAATAAGAATAAGTAAATCTTTAAAAAGTGGAAATTTTTTCTTTGAGCTTCCATCACCATTTTTATCCATATTATTCATTTGTAATACAGATTTCATTTTTTAAAGTTCCTTTTATTTCTAATTACAGTATTGAGTAGAAAATTTTAAAATATTTGCTGGCATAATGAAGACTGTATAATCATATTTCAAATGCATCAGGGTAAGATTTCTGAGATTTTTGTGTTCTTTAAAATATTTCATGCTTTGAAGACTTTTTTAAAAACAAGATCACCCTAAATACTTACATTTTAACCTTTACTTTCATAAGATAGTGTGAAAATTTCCCATGTTTCTAAGTAATGTCATTATGCCATTTCAGCAGTTTCATTGTATGCCATTTTCTGAGTATCACCTATTCTGACTAGAGACTCCTTTTCATTGCTCAAAGCATTATTAAAGAATGTATTTGCTGTTTGTGTGTTTGCATGAATCCATCATTTTTGTCAGAGTACATTCTTAGCAGTGAAAATGTAGAGCTCTATGGAATACAAAATTTCCCTTCCCAATGGGAAGATTCTACCTATTAAAATCCCCATTTTGCTATGTTTGAATACCACAGTTTTACACATTTGCCGTTTCCGTTACTTTTTGGAAAATATCTGCCAAATTATCATCAAAATTAGTATTTTTTTTATTTTACACAGTTTAACAACAGTTGGGATAAATGTGATGGAGGGGTCTAACACTACTCTGGAATTGTGTCCTGTATTTGTATTATGTGCCTACTGTCTGTTAGTGAATAACATGGGTATTCAGCAAGTAGAACGTTACCTCGATAACACATATTCTAGATAAAACACAGTTGGTGCTCCTCTTCATCATCATTGTATCACATCTCTGGGTGATACCATTCATTCTTCTGAGAAATGAAATCAGACAATAATTTTTAGTTGACCATAGTTATAGCTATAAAAATAATGACCATATGAAAGCATTTTGAGTTCTTAGCAGAAGCATTCGAATTTGTGCAGCAAGCAATAACCATAAACCCTACTCAATGTAATCCTTTCTTTTTATGTTATACAGATTTAAAGTTATGACAAATATTGTGATGGTGGGATTTACAAATTGAAACAGAAAATTTAGTATCTAATTCTGTGCTTAATTTATGTGAGTTAATGTTGTCCTCAAAAATTGAAACCTCATTACTTTTTAAGCATTTGGAACAATGAAAATAAAATCATCAACCATGTTAAAAAATGGAAGTTTATCCAAATAACAGACAAAATTAAAGATAAACCAAACTCTAACACTGTCTTGTCTAAATGATATTTCCTATTGTCATGTTATTATATATAGCTTAGTAAACACTTCTTTTCACTTTGTTTCAGGTAGCAGTTTTACAACATCATCAGGATTATATACAGGAAATAATTCACTCACAAATTCCTCTGGATTTAACAGTTCACAGCAGGTAATTTGAAAAGCCTATTTAACCTCTTAAATACTTTGGGCCCTAAGCGGTCACCTAGTGGCTGAAATCCTCACCTTGTATATAGTGGGATCCCATATGGGTGCCGGTTCATGTCCTGGCTGCCCCCTTCTCATCCAGCTCCCTGCCTGTGGCCTGGGAAAGCAGTAGAGGGGTGGCCCAAAGCCTTGAGACTCAGAACTCACATGGGAGACCTGGAGGAAACTTCTGGCTCCTGGCTTCAGTTCGATTCAGCTCCAGCCATTGTAGCCACTTGGGGAGTAAGTCAGCAGACAGAAGATCTTCCTCTCTGTCTCGTCGCTCTACAGATTTGACTTTCCAGTAAAAATAAATAAATCTTAACTAAAAGAAAAGAATCTCTAAAGTACTTTAAAAGGCATGATTTATATAAAGAAAGGTCAGTTTATATTACTCTGAGAGCTTTCCTCTGCTTTTTTATAGTTTATTTTTTTTCTCTTAAGGATCTTCTTAGAAGTCTTTCATGTTTTCAAGTTTGGTTTCCAGATTGGTTCAGTTTACCTGATACTGTACCATAGCATAGGAGGTAGTGTGAAGACAGTGTAACCCTATGTAGAATTTATTGGCAAGTCTGAGCTCCTCACTCATTGTGAACTTGGACGCTGTCCTGTGAGAATTCAAATGAAATGCAGAAACCTACACATACTTACAGTTATGCAGCCGCGGTTTTTTCACAGGCTGTTCTCATGTGCTTTACTTTGGTAGGATTATCCATCTTACCCCAGCTTTGGCCAGGGGCAGTATGCACAGTATTACAACAGCTCACCATACCCAGCACATTATATGACAAGCAGCAACAGCAGTCCAACGACGCCGTCCACCAATGCCACCTACCAGCTCCAGGAACCACCATCTGGCATCACCAGCCAAGCAGTGACAGATCCTACCGCAGGTAATGACATGAATTGTATTGGTCCTGTGGGCTGGGTTTCTGGAGGCTTAAGTGTGAAGACTAACTATAAATCAAATGTCACGAGCAAAGCAATCATTTTATATGGGTTTGAAAAATCTAGTATCAAGTATTGAAATTCAAAAGCACAGAGATTTATTTATAAATATGATCTCAATTTGCAAGCTGTGTGCAACTTTCTAGATAAGCAATTATGAACTATAATTCTATGATCTTTTAAAAGTTCACAGAAATGTGTTATGTGAAAAAGTTATGTATACATTTCAAAAATGTTTGCATCAAAACAAACTTAATTTTTAACTCATTTTTTTCTGTGAACTTTCTGAAATAATGCATATTTTTAAATAACTTGTTCACACTGCACATTGTCTGAAAATAAGTTGCCGTGTCTAGAATTTAGTGTCCACCATCATTAAGTACTTAGTGGTTTTCATCACAGTAATACATTGAAAACTAGAACCGTCCGGGAGCTTCAAAGGCCTTGGGTTCTCCCTTTCCCACTGAGGCATTCCTGTGAATGTCATCACTAACTGTCTTTATGAACGTGCACATTTTTAATCCTTCTGCACAACCCTGGGTTCCCATTTCAGATGAGAGCCTTTCCAACTCTGGATGTTTTCCAGAATTCTATCTTTGATATTTTTCCTCCATTGGGTCTTTCTTTTTGAGAATCTTGGTATTGTACGCTTATTTCCTGTCTTGGTCTTTATCCAAAGTTATCTGTATTCTCAAACTTCCCACTTTTTTTGTCATAACATCCTAAAATGGTAGTTACATTTTCCATGGCTTATGAAGAGAGTTATTATTCTCAAAGTCGGAATTTTCTTCCTCTTGCCTTTTTTTTTTTTTTTGCCAGAGTTAAGACCTACATTATTGCTATAAGGCGTGTTAAAGGGCATAAATTAAATAATATACTTCTATGACATTATAATCATAGAACGTTAATTCTAGGCGATTATCCTAAATGGTAAAACAGATTTATTATAGTATATGTGAATGTAAACATTTTTATTTTTGATCATGTTATGTCATTTATTTTTATTTTCCAATGTAATTCAATATTCCATTTTTCATTTAGTTCCCATGTATAAAATGCAGTTCTCTTGGAAATGAATATTAATGTGTTTTTTTCTGTCTTTTGATTAGATTTCACATTGATTTAATCATGCTGGAAAATTTATTATAGAATATATTGAGCTTATTATAGATATTTTTGAAGATATTCTTCCCTGTTTTCATAAACTTCACATAGATATCATAAGGAAAGGTTATTTCTTGTACCAAATTTAGGGAGCTCTTATGTTTCCATAGGGACCATTTGAGTTAGGAAATCTTGTGGGACCAGAGGAAGTTTCAAAATGAGGACAGCTACATGAGAAATAGCAAAATTTTTTAAAAACAACATAGTTGTATTTAATTCCTGATGTTTTGGTTGTGAAGAGTACAGCATAGAACACTTGTGAAGAGTTTGTTGTTGCTCTTGTCAGTGAGGGAGATTAAAGCATTGCTGTTTAGCTGTCTAGTGTTTTTGTTCCTGAACGCTGACATTGTCCACGTTGAATGTTGTCTGTAAAAGGGATTCCATCTGCAACAGTGAGGATAACTGGGCACATCTACATCTCATGAAAACCCATATAAAATTGGAAATTTCAAAATGTTTGTATGATTTTACTTTAAAAGTAAGTGATATATTTTGGCCATTATTTTTAATAGTACCTTTGCATTTTAGGTACTTGATTGTATTATTTGTAGGAATGAGTTGAACTGGGCAGAAAATAATAATATTCATTGCTTTGCATTTTATGCATTGCATGGTGAGAAGCAGAAATTTAAGGATAATTTGGGTTTTCTTCTTTTCAAAAAAAATATATAAAGGGAACGTTTCATACATTTCAAATGTACAGATTTAAGAGCTTAATGATAATTTCTACCATATCGCCTTCTCCCTCCCAATTTCACTTCTCATGATTTCCCTACACTACAAAAGAATTAACATGTAGTAAGCAAACTACTTTTTTCTCTAGAATAAAGATCTGTAGACAATAGCCAAATCTCAAAATGCCAATCTAATTCATATACACTCCATGTTTTTGTATTCCATGTATTAGTTACCAAAACTCAGGGAAAACATGTAATATTTGTCTTAGGTGGACTGATTTGTTTCACTAAGCACAATGGTCTGTAGTTGCATCCATTTTGTTGCGAAAGACGGGAATCCATTCTCTTTTATAGCTGAGTACTATCCCATCCTGATGTACACCACAGTTTGTTTATTTATATCTGTGTTAATACCTTTCAGTCTACTTAAATTTTCTGATATTCACTTTCCTTTCTTACTAGTCACACGTATAGACTTTTTCTTTTTAAAGAAAAAAGTTTTGATCATATGTGCAAAAATTTAGATACTTTCTGAAATGGTTTCAATGCTGTGCTATAAATATAAATTAGTTAAAATAATGAATGTCTCTTTTTGTTTAAATAATTTCAAGTGTTTCTAGTAGCCTGTTGAGTATAATACTATTCTTAAACAGTGGAAAGTTAGATTTTAATCATTACTTAATCTTACATATGAACATGTTCAGTTCTTTTAATTGCATATACATTTCTCAGTATAAACACATCTATAAACATTGGTCTTTCTCTCATCTTTTACTATATCTGTTCTTGCGATGTTCACAGAACTATGAACATGAAAACATAGCTTGTAAGATTTTTTTTCAGGACAAATATATCAGGGTGCATTTTTAATACTACCTGACGAATTGTTGCCATGTAGGTTTGTGAAAACCTATACTTTCCTGTGAGTCTTAAGTTAAAAAAGCATTTTAATCTGTTCACATTTAAACATTGAAAACAATATTCTACTTTGAATAAAGGTGCATAGTACGTTGAAATTATGTAACTTAAATATGAGTTTAAGCCCAAATCTGTGGTTTATTTTGAAAACTAAAACAGTGTCTTCACTCAGTTTTTTAAAATGATGGTTTTTTTTAGTCATGCACAGATGATCATAATTAAATAGAATTTACAATACCTGGAAATATGCTAAAATTGATCTGCCTTGAGAAAAACAGCAAGGTATTATATTGTCACACAGCAAGATTTTGATATATATATTGGGTTCAAAGACATCTTGGTTGTTTCTGGGTTTCAATGTATAAATGATATTGCTGTAAAACTTTGTGTGCAGCCTTGAGTTTAAACTCTTGAAATTTACAGTTTGTATGGTCAGACTATATTTTGCTTTGAAAGAAACTGTCAAATTTTCTTCCAAAGTGTCTGTGCTATTTTGCAATTTCATCCAAAGTTAATGAGTGTTGTTGTTGCTCTGCGTCCTTGTCAGCTTTTGGTTCTGCCAGTGTTGTGAATTTTGGCCATTCTAATATATGCAGGGAGGTAGTTTGCCCATTTTGCATCACAAAAGTGATTGTTCTTATGATTTACCTACTTTTAAATCAGATTGGTTGTTTATATATTGTTGGATTTTCCTTTAAATTTTGGATGGAAGTGTGGATTCGATATGTATTTTGCAAATATCTTTCCCAGGCTGCGGCATATATTTTCCATCTCTTAATTTTTGTTTTTTGCAGAGAAGTTTTTAATTTTAATGAGGTCCACCTTATCAATTTGTTTTCTTTTATTAGTCTGCCTTTGGTATTGTATTTTTTTAAATCTCATTGCAAAATTCCAGGTCAGCTAGATGTTTTCCTGTTATTTTCTAGAAGTTTCATAGTTTTGCATTTCCATGTAGGTCTCTGGTCTAGTTTGAATGAAAATATATTTGCATTTTGATGTCCAGATGTTCCGGTATCATTTATATAAAAAAAAAAAAAGATGCATTTTCTTCTTTGTTCCTTGGCAGAAAATCGGTTGACTGTTTTCATGTGGGTGCTGTCTGGTCTCTTTCATTAAAGAGACTGCTGGTTTGCCAATGCAACACTGTCTGGATTACTGTACCCTTAAAGTAAATCTAGTCAGTCAATGTCAGTCATCAAGCTTTGTTCTTTACTGTGGGATTACCTATTCTGAGCAGTTTGCCTTTCTATATGTGATTTAGAATCAGTTTATCCATATCCTCAAGACAAATTTCTGGGATTTTGACTGGAATTAAGCTGAATTTATAGATCATGTTGGAATGAATAGGCATTTTGACAATGTTGGATTATGCCATCCTAAACTGGAATTTTCACTCCATTTGTTTTTAGATTGTCAATCTCTTTCATCAGAGCATTGTAGTTTTCCTCATACAGATTTTGTTTACATGTTCTACATTGTACCTAAGTATTTGTTTCTCTTCTGGGTGAAATAGATTATAATAAATGGAGGCGAGGCATATTTTTTAATTTCAAATTCCCAATAGAACATTGCTAATCAAGATGAAAGGAATTTTCTTTTGTATCCTGATTGTTTCTTTGACAGCTAGTAGGCCTGTTGAGATTATCTTGTAATTCTCCTCCTGTGAGTTTTGGTAAATGTGTCTTTCAAGGAGTTGGTATATTTCATCTCTTCTATGTAATTTGTAGACTTAGAGTTGTTTATAATGTTGCTTTATTATTCCTTTAGTATCCACTAGTGATAGCTATCTGTCACTAATGATACCATGGTTTATGCATGTCCTCTCTTGATTAACCTGGCAAGAATTATGCCAACTGAATGAACTTCCAAAGTACCAGTTTCATTTATTTTCCTCTATTTTGCTATTTTTAATTGCCATTTAGCTCTCTGATTACTTCTTATGTTTTAATTTTTATCTCACTTTTATTTGTCTTGTTTGCTATAGTTGAAGCTTAGAGGATTAATTTTAGCTCTTTTTCTGTTTTTCTTCTTTGCTCATTCAATGCCATAAATGCAATTCACTCTTTTTTGGCTGCCTCCCACAAAATTTGATAGGTTGCCTATTTTCATTGAATTGAACATATTTTTCATTTTCACAATCAATGAACTTTTTCCTTTTAATAAGTTTTATGTTAGTATACATCCTG